GCAGACGCATCACTACGTGCACAGCGTTGTGAATTGCGAGTTTGCGCTTGTGGCGACGGTGACGATTCATAAGGTTACGAACGAAAGCGTTCCTCTGCTGCGTGCGGACCTGGAGGACAAGGGAAACACGACGTTTGTGGGGCTGTCGTACACGCCGGCGAACGAGTGGGGTACAGTCTTCGACGATATCACGAGAACAATACACAACAGCACTTGGAGGCCGGGGAAGGAGTACAAAGTGGCGCTCATGCTGCAGGGCAACAAGGGCTCCGTGTACGTGGACGGCGTGCTTGTGGGGAATACTAACATACTACAAGTCCTTAAGCCACGGAAGCATGATATCTCTCACTTTTACTTTGGTGGCGGCGAAAACAGCAGTGTGACAGTAAAGAACGTCTTTTTGTACAACCGCCGACTAAGTGAAGATGAACTCAAAGCAGTTGGCCAGTCTGATGTATCTTGGAAAAGTGCAGGTGACAGCTCTGATGGATCCGAGCAACGTGCAGGTGGCAGCTTTAATGCGTCCGAGCAACATGCGGGTGACGGCTCCACGCGTGCTGATGTGTTCCGGGTGTCAATTCTGCTGCTATTGTGGCTATGGGGCTTTGCGGCCCTGTGCTGAGTGGACCCCGGTGGACGGGAGTTTGTGCTTCTACTGAGGACATCTCCGTTTCTCCATGCGCTCTCTGAAGTAAATATTTTCTCATGTGGGCACACTTTTTTACGTTTTTTTTTTCGTTTGCGCATATATATTTTTCGTTTTGGACCCACAGATTGTGTTCTTTCATCGGCTCCAGCACAGCGGGGTCCTCATTTTATTTCGTCCTTTTTGTTTGTTATATTGTTCGCCTCTATCAATGACGAGGCTATTCATCGATTTGCTTTTTAGTGTATCGGTTGGGTATTTTGTTGGTTTACTGCTTTACGGATGTGTTTTTTGTTCGTTTGTTGGTTGTTGTTTTGTCGGTTCGTTCTTGACGAGGGCGTTACGTCTGCGTGTTTGTCTGGCAGTATGAGATGCTTCACTGCGGTCGCTGCGGGACGGACCGGGGCTCTCTCTCTTTTTTACGTCCTGGTTTGTGGTGGGTGCGGACGTGTGCCACTGTGCTGGCTGACGCGCAGGCAATCGAATTCGTTCGAAAAGACACGAGGAAAAACAACTAACCGCTTTTCTTGGGTGTCTGCGGACGCTCTCGGCATTGTGTGTCCGCCGATGGGAGAAGGAAGGAGGAAGGGAGTGAGAGCCACAGCAACGCACTGCGGGTCCCTGTGCGAGTAAAAAGGTGTCTGGACACCGGGGGCCTTCAGTGGATGAAACGAATATATCATTATTTTTTTTTATATGCGGCCAAAACATGAACACTTTTCGTTTTGAAGGGTAACACAGGGGCCTTCCACGACAACATATTTTGCTTTTGCTTGTGAAAACGTATTTAGGAGTAATTTCTTTTTTTTTTGGTAAATCGTTTTTCATGTGTGTTGCCACTGCACGGGCTGCGGTGCCATTTTGAGTCTTAGTCATCGAGTTTTCCCATCTTTGCGTCCTGCATCTCTTCTGTGTGTGTATGTGCGTCCTCACACGCTTTGATCCTCTTTCCTCTCTTTCAATTTTTGTATCTGCAGGCACACACGTACACGACATATATTTATTGCAGTGCACGTGGAGGATGCCTTCTGTGCCTATGAAGAGGCCGAGACAACGAAAAAGGAATAGTGTGCGCTGTGACTCACTCCCTTTCCTTGCGAAGGCAGTGCGCTGCGTGTGGGAGTGTTGTCTTGAAGCGCGGCGCCGCCAACTGCAACGGTGCGGCACGGGGTGGGCGACTTCTTTTGTCTGAGTTTGCTGCCGCTGTGCTTGCGTCCGCGCGGGGACTTTGTCCTGCCCCGTCTTTGGGCCTTTCTTTTGGGTTGTGTGGCTTGGTGGCGACAGTGGCGGGGCGTTTTTGCTTCCACTTTCATGCGTTGCCGTGACGGAGCCTTGCGGGGGCGTGCGGCCTAAAAAAGAAATGCAGAAGAATGTGTGGGTCTCAGTGGGTGGTGCGGTGGCAGCAGAGTGGGGCTGCCGCTTCTGCTCTTGCAGCGGGGAATATGCTGCCGCACTCTTTTTGTTGGTTGCGTCGGGGGCAAATGTGCCGGCACCCTGAGAAACTGCGGGTTCCGCCGCCACGACGACTGAAGGAAACGGAGGTGTCTGCGGCTGCCTTCGCAGGCTGCGCCCCGTGCGGCCCAGTCGCGTGGCAAACAGTTCCCTCTCGGAATTCACGTGCACCGCGCCACGTGCTGGGCGCAGCGTATATTTGCGTCGCGGGGGAGAATGCGGTGGCGTCCATTCTCCTTTTCACGGGGAACAGGCGGCGTGTGTTCTGCCTCTTTGCACCTCAGCGAATTGCGACACAAAATGCCGCCGCGACGAGGCAGTCAATTTCGCCGTGAGTGGGTGATATCTACGTGTGGCTACGCACACACGGAGTTGT